TTTTGTTTAAATATTAAATATATGTTTAAATATTAAATATATGTTTAAACCCCTTCCTTGGCAACTGGGACTTTTTTGCAATGGAATCTATCCACAAAATGTACTAATAATACAGGAAAGGGAGACATTAAAGGTTATCACCAAATTTCCAGATTCCAAAGTTAGCCCCAGAAGACGCACATTCACTAGATTTTCTCCACTGAGTGACAATGCAAGTCAGAGCTCCTTCTTACGCCTATGAGGCGGTACAGAACTGATCTGATAACTCATTCTTGAAGTCCCTGCGAAATTCAAGGAACTGGCTGCCAGAAGAAAATGCAGAAGTTAAAGGTATATACCCAAAACTTCCCATTAAACTTTATAAGCACGGACACAAAGCAAACCAAATAACATTGGCATAGAGAATTGCAGCAACAAACTCCAGCAAAGTTTCCAGTCTTGCACCTTCCCTCACTTGTATCTATTGCAGTGTCCCCATCCAGGAGCAGATCTCCGTCTCTAGTCAACTCTGCCTGCATCTGTAAAACAGTTCAGGTAACACTCTCTGGACCTGAAGCCAGCTGGCACAGCACTGCTCATACGCATATGCTATTCTCTCTTGTCCCCAGGACAAGGCGGTACCCTCCAAACGCTTAGTAAGCAGTTACCGGCCTGTGCTAACCCCAAACTGTGCCCAGGCACTGTCTGTAAGAATGATAGCTGGCTCCCACTAAAACTGTGCTTGGGACTATTCTAACTAATTAGCTTCACAGCCCACTGTATGGCAATATTTATGTTAATTAAGGGCCTTATTAATGCTGTTGTTACTATTACCATAATACTATGTTCCACCTCGGTGCAGAGCTGAGAATGTAATGGCATTTTGTAAAAAACTAAACGAGCCTCACAGTACCCATTCAGAGAAGGACGTGGGTTTTATCCAATTTACAAACTAGGAGACTGAGATCAAAAGCCTATATAATTTACTTCTCTTCAATGAAAAGGTAGTAGAGAGCCAAGAATAAGGGATGGGACTCCTGATTCTTATTGCTCATATTTAGCTGCTGGACTACTATCTATGATGTTAAATTATTCATCGTTTCTCACAGGGAAGGCAGGCATGCACTCACAAGAAAAGCTGTGTGCAAGAAAAAGGGTTATCGAAGCATTAACACACTCTATTCAAAAGAGTTAGCTAACTGACAAAAATATGCTGCTGTAACACATTTTCATGTGTAGGTAGCAATCCTTCTCCCCTACATCCCAGGGCTGGAATCCTGCGTGGGGAACACTGAACTGCTCAGTATAATGTAAAAGACAGGCCTCATTAACTCTTGGACATCTTCTCATTTCTTGGTCATAAATCCTATTACCTTGTATTACAAACTGCCATAAAACTCACAGATAAAAGATAATTTATGCTCAGTGTACAGAAGCTAATGTTTCTGTACTCCTGAGAAGCACACTACCAGAAAATGAGAAAGTATGTATGTGAAACCTTAAGCCATTCATACTGAGCATGGCTAGCATGATAAGCATGACTCTAAGGGCCTAATGCTCTTCAGCCAGGCTATACTCTTACAGTAATTGATATTACCAAAATTTCAAGCAGAAAACATTATAGACCGTTGCATAAAATATCCTGCTTATAAAGAACGATTACTCTTTATTAAGAATTCAGGCTTTCCTCCCTCCCCCCACTTCAGAAAGAAATATGATGGCTATTCAGTACAGAGATACTTTTTCTTCCTTTTTATTTTCTTCTCTTTTTCTTTTTAAAATTCCAATCATCACATCAGAAAATGCTTCAGAGCAAGCATCACCTCCTGGAATTTTTACACAGTCTCCCTATTTCTGACTCCTATCCTAATTAGTGTTCCATGGCACACAGAAACTAACAACCCTTGGAGCTGGCAAAAATCAAAGGCAGCTCAATCTCTTATTTGCTTTTTCTCTGAAGCAATTTAAAAACTTCGGACTTCGGCACCGATATTAACTGTGTTGGTTATCTCCTCAAAGGAATATTTTGCTTTAGTGAAGACTGAGCAAAAGATGCATTAAATTTAGGCTGTTTGTCATTAGTTTTCCTTTCCCATTCAGACAAGAGAAGATCTTTCACTGTCCACTTACAACTTCCGTAGTTACAGACTATGTTCTCATTGCTTGGACCCTTCCATAGGTGTACCTCATTTCATTCCTAATTTGACCTATATTGGAATTCATTTATCTAAATTTAGATACCTACAGTGTATACCTAGATCTCAGCCTACCACCCAATTTGTCCATAGAGTCCACGGAGACAAACATTTATGGGGTGTAATTCTTCGCATCTTTTTTCTCCACCTCTCGGCACAGTTCATCCTTACAGGTCAGAAATTAATATAAAAGTTTACTTCCTTGCAGTTTTCTTCACTTTCCATGCAAAACATTTTTCCCAATATATTTCAAAAACTTGCACTGTCTGTCCATCTGTTTCCCACGAGAGGCCTCAGTACTCAAAATGCCAATTACACTTACCTTCAGTACTTGAATAATTTTATCGGCTGATGAAAAAAGGCTTTGTTTACCTGGTCCTCCTTGCTTGGTAGTCTGCAGTAGATTCCAAATCGGGCATTGTCCTTGCTCTCTTCCTCTGTCACCCTGAAGACTTTTAGCAAGTCTATAAGCCTGTTTCCTACAACACTGTGGACCTTTACAAGTGTGTTAAATATTGATGTATTTCTTCTGCTGTACCCCGCTATATCAACACTGTAATAATGTGAAATAACTCTCTTTCAAAGCAATTACTTAGTAGATTTTATAGTGTACTTAGGTATGTACACAGTCCTCCTCTTAGTTTCTGCATTACTAACTAAAAATCAGACAGCTTGACTTGTTATTCCCCTTTGTATCCTTCCTAGGGCTGTTTATGGGATTACTAGTTTCTCTGCTCTATCCAAATATTTTAGCCTTTGCCTGGGTACACATGATAGAGAACCAGTACTAGTCTCCCGCTATAGTGAGCGGAGGGCTAATGTTATTTTGAAGCAAAAATATGGTTACATTCTTCTTCCCCAAGAGAGAAAGGTTTCAGATCTACATTTTAGAGAAAAAGCATGATGCTCTTAACTTTAACATTTGCATTAGCATTTGAATCTCAAAACCCTGCTTCATTTGTTGCACAGTTGCCAGACTTGCATTTCAAAAAGTCAGTGGGTCTCCCACTGTGTTCAACTCCCTCCTACCTTGATTTTAAATTACAAAGGGCAGAGGGGAATAAAGAGAGAATGCCATGATTGTGGCTGTTTACAAGAGAAAAATATCACGCTGAACTCTGTACAAAAAGAGTACTTCCAAGTTTAGGATCCTCCTTTCTTTCTGTGTATAAACTACTCACTCGATTTTTATCTAAACTATGCAGGATTAATATTATCACCTGGAGGTACCACGACAGTTGACTGAAGATGCTGACAGTGGCAAGTTTAAACCAACAATGAAAAGCAATTTTGTGTCAAAGTTAGCATTAAGATGGTTTAAATGGCCTGCCCCCTATATCTGCCCTTTATTTCTGAACGCTAGAAACAGCCTTAAGTTACAGAAGTCAGTTACTGGTAGTGCAGACTGACAGTCAGGAACAGCAGAAAAAAATAATATCCTATGGAACGCTCTCCACCAACAAAAACGTATTACATGCTTCTCATGCGGCATTGTTAGAATCAGAACATAAAGAAGCTTCCAGCAAGCCCAAACAATTAGCAACCTCTCATTTCTGTTTAAATGCAGAGATTATCATTTTTTTTTCCAGTTGCAAAGGGTTTAATTATTCATTGAAGATTTCTGAAAGCAACCTTAGGCATGGCATTTTAAAGCCACTTATGGAAAAGATGAATGAAAAGAATTAAAAGTCTTTCCAGTCCAAGTAAGTGTTTTGTAAACTAAATTGGGAATTCTCCATATTATTTTGCTTTTCAGTATGTTCTTAAAAATATCCTAAAACTCATTTACAGCGCTCAGTGAAGTATCGTACCCACAAGTCAATCACAAGCGAGTTACTCCTCACTTTCAGATTTTAACCACAGTTATCCTTTAGCCCTCTTCCCCCTCACTCTGCTGCCTCTATCCATTCAGCTGTGCAACTAATGATCACAGTCATTTCTCATCACACTGGCAAATGAGCTCCTGTGCCTACTATCTTTCCTGCAGACACAGTGCTTCAAAGTTGTTAATACAGCATCTGCCCCTGTGGATTTAAATCTATAATCTCATAGAACCTTATTAAAGCTTTTCTCAAATTACAATGAAGCACGTGTGGTGTGGAGTTTTGTCAAATTTATCTGTGAATGTTATTTATTTTAATGAAATAAGCTTTCCAAGATAAAATGGGAAAGTTAGTTAAGCTTCTAGAAACCCTGACATCAGAAAAAGGTGTTTCCAAACATAAATGAATCACTGTTAGAGAAGACTCTTTGATGCTTAGATTTGCCTTTAATTGAAATTTTAGAAGCAGAAGCCCAGCAAGATCTTTTGCGTGTGTTGTTTCATGAATCAATAAATGGAATAACAGACCCAAAAACCCACAAAAATAACACATCTTAAATAAATTCCCTCGTTGATGCTAGCTGGATTCCCATCATAATGAACTGCACCACTGAGACCACGTAAGAGCTCTGCCTGACGTCTTTGTCAGGAACTCCCTTGTATCTTCCTCTTACATCTTTCTTTTGTTCCTCTTACTGCAGACATCCTTATTGCTACTCAACATGCAAAAGGGCTGTGTGCTGAATTTAAACTTACTGGAATCTAATTTAAAAGTTTAATTTTTTTTTTCCCCACTTATAATCAAAATCCTCTATTTACCCCAATTCAGTTTTCATACCTTCCAGATTTCTATGCTCCTCCCCTTTGAAACAAATCTATCCTGAACAAATTAAACACAATCTTTTCCAAA